GTCTTGTCGAGCAGTGCTGCTGGAGTGGCTCAAGTCACGTTGAATTCGTATGACCATATGAGGCGATCAGGGGAAGATCGTCCGCCTTTTCGCAGCGATTCCGTATCAAGGTAAGTCTCGCTCGGGCTCTGCCCCTCCCTTTTACTGACGCGTTTATGCAGGTCTGCGACGGATGACTCTGTGAGACCACGTGATGTCCCATCGAAACCACGTACTCAATCTCGTGGAGGACGACAGGAAGTAGTTGGACAGGGAACGGCAAACAGTGATGGAGAGTCAGAGGGGCAGAGGGCCAAAAGTCCCAGAAAAATGAAAAAAGGGAAAGAGAGACCAATTGTCCCCGATACGTCGTAAGTGTCATACGCCATGCACTTTCATCCATACTAGGCTTATTGTCCATTGCAATTTGTCGACCCCTTTATCAAATGTCACTTCACCGCCGTCACGGATGGAATCAGTAGAGTACCTAGTGCCAGTCTGCAAAGCTTTGTATCTCGGCAAGATGAATATAGGCCTCTTACAAATTCGTCCGAGACTCCCGGAAGCCTGGAACCGAGAGTGTCAACAACAAGCTCTCCACGTCATAAAACGGGTGTCAAGGATGCTCTTAATAAGGATATGTTGAAGACCAAGGGTGGCAACAGAGATGAACCTGGCCGGACTCGCTCTACAGGCTCGGCTGGTAAACGCAAAGAGCCGACGCCGCGTGCGCAATCGCCTTCGAACGCGCGCCTTTACGCCTCCTCGGGTGCAGAACCCCGAACCATCTCTCCTCGCGTTGTTCAAGCCAACACGGATGGTTCAAGTAAAGACACTTCGCCCAAAATTGACGATGCAAGCAAGAAGCTCAACGTCCATCTTGCATCGGGACAATCGCGAGGGGGAGACCCGAAGCGTGAGAAGCACAGAAGTGGCTCGAGCAGCAGAATCTCCACGTCACGACACCGTCATCGAGAATACAATGGAAACAAGGTCATATCATTCACGTCGGATGACTCGGATCAACAACCCGGTCGTAGCCAAACGTCCGGCAAGGGTCATATTCATGATGCAGATTCAAAGAATAGGAATCCCCCTCCAGATTTTGAGGACCCTACCGGTGTCGATTCTGCGCATTCCGACGGAGCAGGCGCAAAGCAAGATTCACCGAAAGCAACAGGACGAGACAAGTCGACACCTTTGTCAAGGCGAGAAAGCGAATCGAGTTCGCCCCCGTCAACAAGTCGCAGTCCTGTCAGAAAGGAAGACCCGCACGACAGCGATAGCAGCTATGAAATACGAGATGACCCGCCTGCTTCGTCGAACTCAGCGAAGCCTCCAACAACAACTAAGAGCCCTGCTGAAGATCCTCTCAGGGCATCTGATAAATCTTCCGGTGCCTCGCCGCCACCACCAATCTCTAAACCAACCGGATCACCCGCTATAACCGGCCTCAAAATGTGGATCGCGAACCTTTCCTCTCAGCGCCTTGGGGTCGGCATCGCCTTGGCGGTGGCCATAGTCTGTGTCCTTAGCTCTGGATCTGGTGGGCCCAGCGGATCTGGTTTGACGAGGTTGGCTGGAGGAGGTATTTTCCTTGTCGCGCTTGCCGCTATAGGCCTTTGGGCGTGGTACCAGAATAGTAGCAAGGGCAAAGAGCGCGAACGGAATTCCGTAGAGGGCAGTACGGATTCAGTGGACGGCCGCAATAAGGAGAGGGATGGTGACGGCGGTGACGACCCTTCTGACTCGGAAGACGAAGGCAATGACGGCAACGGCAAAGGCGATCGTAAAGGCAAACACTCTCGAAATCTGTCGAATGGCAGGACCGACAGTCACGATCGAGATCGTGACATGTCGGAGAAATGTCACATGCTCCACCAACAGGCTGAAGATCGAGCCCGGGAACTATTTCCAGAGGTCCCACGACACCTCGTCTTGAATGCCCTTGATGTCTACGCCAAAGCTCCGTGGACCAAGACCACGACCGAAGTTAGAACGGAGAATAGCAAGGATAGGACGAGGACCAGGACCAAGACCGAGGATGGTATTAGAGAGCTCGAAAAGGCAGTCAAAGAAGTATGGAAGGAGAACCCTCATGGTAAAAGCTTTTCAAAACATTTTGAACAGCTTGACCATCAGCTGCGAGAAGAAGCAAGAGAGCTTTTCGCTGGGCTATTGAGCTGTAACGGAGCCTACTTGTCAGGGGATCTGTTCCGAGTTGAACTGATGCTCGAAGTGCCGATAGCGATCCGCGTAACGACCTTTCCCGGCGAACGACTTATCGCTCGACCAGGTGAAAATAAAAAGGATGGCGTGAAACAGTCGTACCACAAAGAAAAGGAAAATTGGTACAAGGGACTCGAGACTTTGAGCATGATGAAGAAGCGTTGGGACAAGCTTCCGCTTCCTGATGTACCCGAAATGCCACCCGTTGAAATAGTCTGTGTCCGTCCGCCAGCTGATTTTACGCCCAACGAATTCGAGAGAATCAGGAGATTGGAGGTGGACAGCTCGGCATACAGAAAGGAAAAGAGGGCGTTTGGACGGGCGTGTTCTGCTCAACGGAATGCAGGGGACTTTGCGCAAGGTCCTCGCCGGGAATGGATTCTGGACCTTTTGTTGACGACTCGACCGGACTGTGTTCAGATAGATTTCTTACCGCATCGCCGTCACCAAGCCGAAATACTGGCTTGGAATGACTTGTCCAGTACATCCACTTTCCGACATATCGGTCGTTTTGTCGATGTCATTGGAGCGCTCTCAGATTACACTTCAAAGCACGAACTTGGGATGCTCGATGTCGGGCCCTGCCTGCCCTTGACAAAAGATGGCGTTCGGACTAGCGCGTCTCTACTTGAAAAGTTTGCCGGAAAGTTTTCCTTCAAAACCGCCAGGGTAAAAATACTTCGTGTTGGTTTGGAAGATCCCTCCGTGTTAAGACCAGACTTTAGCGAAGCCAATGAAGTCGCAATGACTTTGTGTGACCTCGAGGTTGAAGCGCTAGATATGTTTCAGCCTTTGTCCGAAGGAGCGATACCGTCTTTCCTTCTGGAGACAGTCAACATGGAACAAGTGGAAACATACAAGAAGACGGTTGCATCAGAGTTTGAACGGCGATTGATCAGCAACCTCTATGTGGCTACGAAATTGCTACACTTTATGGGGCAGTCGTACTATGCGCTGCCTAATCAGCGGCCCTGTCCACGCATCTGGCCACCCGGGGAGTGGCAGATACTCGACGATCGGGTGGCTGCGGTTCTAAAGGAGAAAGCAGGGAAGTGAAGTGTGTCGCTTGTCGTCACCTTGTTGTCATGATGGCGTGTGGATTGTCTATATGCCAGAAACATAGATGTGTTTTTTCTCGCTGTCCTCTTGGCTGCCCTTTTGCATCGCTGCCGAGGTAACAAGCGCAGATTGACTGTCCTTGGCCCGCGGGGGGCGATACCGGCGCCGTGAATCGCCTCTTCATACGGTCTGTATCATTCGCGTACGGCAATTGTGAGCGAACTTCAGACAACATCTGGCTTGCCTGACAACTTACGTCGTCGTGAAAGTCCCATTTGCTGCATCGGTAAGATCGGAGGGTCAGTAAGGAGTACCTTTCGATGGAAGATTCCTACTCACGTCTTTTTCGGATTTGACGGAGCATGTGCGACATACTTGTCGTTCCCTTCGGGTCTGCGAAGAGGTCTGACTTGGGCATCGACATTTGACAGCAATTCGACAAAGGGGATCTTACCGTTCAAGCTTGGTGTTTGATGCTAGCATGGATTGCAAGGTAAGGCAGACGCTCGATACGGTCAGGACTGTTGCAGACCAGGACATTGCGAGAAAGGGACTCCTGTTAGCCAGCACGGCTACCGGCAAGTGGACGTTTCTTAATCACCTGGAGACCAGCCGGTGTCTAGACATGACTAATAGGCATGAGCTCAGACGGGCCGGGCGAAAAACTAGTTTACATACCCAAAGTACTGGCACAAATATGACCATTTGAATAGACATGAGGATGCAAGGGGACCTGATACGTTGTTCCATCCATCGAACCGGCGAAAAACGTAACCTGAATAATGAAAGTATGAAATGAGGTAACATTGAGTTTCAAGAATACAACTCACCTGAGGCGCTTCAATCGGATAGTTTTGCTCAAACACAAACTTGAGAGCAAACACCTGTCCTCTGTACAAGCTGTCTCCCAACACTTCGATAGATAGAAACCAGGTCTGCAGGTCGTCGGCTTTGAGGAGGTGAATTCCGACTGGACTCTGCTCGTTCTTGAAAGTCATGAGCTCTTTTGCTGAGGAGTGTTGTCGATCAGTGGCTTTACATCGTGTTGAGAGGAATGTCCCGCCTACCTAAACGCCTAGTGCCGAGACTGCCGGACATGTCGAGATGTCTCGATAGCGAGTACCGACTGGAACAGCCTTGATGATGCCTGCAAGAGCAACGGCCGACAATGACCAGGTGACTGACTGGACCTGCCCGAGCGTATGATGTAGTGGATTAGACGACGGTCAAAGAAGGATACTCATGGGAGGAAGTAAGGCCTCTCTATCACAAGAAGCTGTCTCACTCCTGTGATATGTTCCGAAGATCGCGCGGGCGCACCCCATTACTGTGTAGATGTATGTATAGACTCATGGTTTATCTGATTGATTGAGGTTACTTTACCTCCTCGGATGTTCAACTTGGTAACACGATTCCGCTCACCAGTACCGCTGTCTGTCGATGGAAACTCGTTGATATCAACGCCTGATGAGCAAATGTAGAGCCCGTGTCCCCAAAACAAACATCACGCTTCCATCTTTTGGATAAACAATCCGCCCTGCAGGGAAACCGTTATGCAGGACCGAGGGAAAGCAGCGATGGTCCTCTTCTGAACTTCTGATCAACTATTGTGCCCAAGTTGCGCAAAAGATTGGCCAACAGACGTTGTCGAATGGCGACACGCCGAGTATATATGGGAACGCGTCGTGCTGTTACTGCTGGCTTCCCGCTGATGACTGCCAAAAAGTAAAAAATGGAGCCATCAGGAGTCGAACCCGAGACCTCAACCATGCGAAGCCTTAGAAGCTGATGCTAAGATTGCGCGCTACCAACTGCGCCATAGCCCCTGTTGATGTTGAGTATATTCCTTAATGGAATATGTTTCATCAACAACGGAGATCCATCCCGGAATGTAGCAGACAGGAAGTGACTTTGGGTATGCGGTTTACACTAGTCGACCCCAGGGTTGTAGTTGTTGCCTAGAGTCGACACACAACTTCACGCGTTTAGCGTCCAAAATCCAACAAGCCGAGCTTGTAGGATTCCAAGAGCTCAATTAGAATAACAGTTCCATTAAAAGTTGTATTTGCGAAACGGATGGTATTTTCTAGCCTATCGCTTACTCGACACACAATGCAGATAGAAGCATCGCCGCCACCTCAGAAGGAGCCCACTCCAGAGGAGATTGAGGCCAAAATTCAAGAAGCCTGTAAATTCGCCTGGAACGAAGAAAAGCCCAATCTCGCTGAAATCGCGCGTCGCTTCGAGGTCAATTTCAGAACTTCCGCAACCGGTATCAGCATCGTAATTCGAAGTCCACCAGACCTGGAAGCAACAATCGCCTGACAGATGCTCAGGAGAGTGCATTGATCTTGTGCATCGAAAATCTCGAGGCTGTCGGCGGTTCTGTGTCGATTCCGAAGCTGCAATCGACCACATCCTGAAAAAATCGTCAGCTCCCAATGATCCTGAGCCCACGGCAATCTCGCAACTATGGACCGGTAGATTCTTGGAACGACATTCCGAACTGGTCACCGTAGTCCAGAAGCCCCTCGAGATCCCTAGGATGCTAGCACAACAGCCTCATGTATTGATATAT